TGTCCATGCAGATGGCGTCCCATCACCTCGGGGAAACAGAGATAAGCAGAGTGTATGGGCTGAGATAAGATGAGAGCAGACACTGGGGAGACTGACTGACTGTAAGTGAGTCACTGTGGAGAAAACTGCAGCTTTTTTTACGACCTCGCTGAGCCCGAGGACTCTGAAGGAAACACTTTACTTCTGAAAGAAATCATGAGCAGACAACATGCACACATCCCATAGTAGCACTGTCACGATACTGACATTTGAAACCTTAAACTTACACGCCTGTATGATGTTACATTTACTTCACATTAGGGCTCAGAGATAAGACTAAAGATGTAATATCAGTCGATATCAATAATTATAACGAGATATGTAAATGTATCATTTTTTTCTAAATCAAAGGCTGATTGTTGCTCCTGAGTGAAAGTTTCCATTTTACTCCAAACGTCTGTGCGCTTGCTTTTGCATAACCCCGCAACATGATTGGCTGTTTGTCGTCTGTTTCTTCTTCTCTTTAATATTGAGTGCTAACAAGCATCAAAGGTGAATTAGCTCCTCCCCTTTCTCAGTGTTTGAGTGGTGTAATTAAAGGTTTAAATCTATCAAACTTTTATCAAACATTTACTATATTTATATTAAGAAAGATAATACCGCGCTAATCACGTTTATCGTTTTCTAGGTTCGTAAGTAGGTTCTACTTCATATTTGTCACTTTATTTCAATTGTGTCTGTTTCTCTTCTTTTCTTCTCTGACGCAGGGGTCAGTTGGCTGAAAGTTTTATTTTCTATTTTCTCTCTCTTAAAATGTATATTATTGTAATTACTCGTCCAGAGACTGTGATCAGCAAAGTGTCCCACAGCAGATGTCATATATCCAAAAACAGCAAAATGTAAAATGCCATAATTAGAAAAAAAAGAGAATTGTCAACCAATCACAGCTTTGCTAAAATGACAGTAGTGACTTATCCCCACGCCCAGAGTGAAACCATCTATATGTGCAATACACAGTACTGAAGTTACAAAGTGTTGCCACAATATCAACGTCTCTGGTGATTTCAAGCCCAACAAAGAGGCTGCTATCAACCTTCAATCAGTGAAATCTAAACGGTGACAGCATGCTCAGAAATGTGTCAACCTATCTCAATGTCAGCTCTATCCTCACTATTTTTTTAATTCTGATTATTAGCACAACTGGAAATGCATGATGACTTCTCATTGTTCTCAGGCTGGTAACATGTTACAAGCTGCTTTATACAAACACAAAAAAAAGTTGTCGCAGCCTTCACACTCTTATTGGTAACTTCTGCCACACACACACATTGGTAACTTCTGCCACACACACACACACACACACAGGCCTGCTCTTCAGAGGGTGAGACAAAAGTGATGTGTGTGCGATAAGAGGCGGCGCCACAGCAGTGACAGGACACAACACTAAACCCTCTCTATGCACACACACACACACACACACACACACACACACCACACACACACACAGACACACACACACACACACAGATAAGCATCACCTCCATCCCTGGGCCTGGCTCTGTCCTCTTGTCTCTCTCTCTGCTCTGAACCAGTTAGAGAAGAAACTGAAAACACAGAGGACAGCAGCAGCACACACACACACACACACACACACACACACACACACACACAGACACACACACACACACACACAGATAAGCATCACCTCCATCCCTGGGCCTGGCTCTGTCCTCTTGTCTCTCTCTCTGCTCTGAACCAGTTAGAGAAGAAACTGAAAACACAGAGGACAGCACCAGCAGATAGAAGAACAACAGATAGGACTTCGGGCGGATAGAAGGATGCAGATAGAGACGGAGAAAGAGGAGGAGGATAGCGAAGGTCAGGGGATTAGACACAGGGGGAGCTGTAGGTCTGTATCATAAAGTCAAGCTCTACAAGAAGCTGCAGCCTCAATTTACAAATTTCAACCTTTGACACCTCTGGAGCCAAAGTAAGGCATAGATATGAATTAAGCTGACAAGATCTGCATTCTTAAAAAAACATTTAAAAATGGCTAAAGAAAGAGTTAAATGACATTTTGAGCCACAGAGATATCGTAAAGTTTAAGAAGGACTGAAATGACATTTGTTGATATGCATGCTACAGGGTACGTTTGGAATTAAAAGAACTGTAAAACAAAGAGAAGAACCCATATAGCACTCTGCTGGTGACGGAGAACTGCTAGTGTAATACAATGAAACTGAATTTAAATTATATTGATATCGGCGAATATTGGAGATAAAATTAGCCAATACTAACAGTCACTGGATACGCTAATATCGGCCGATATTATCAGCTGGCCGATAAATCGGTCGGGCTCTTGTCCAAATGTCAATTATGTAACCTTATTTTAAAATTGTCCACCACCATGCAAAGACTCTATGAATCGGCCTACGATAAAAGCATGTTAAGGCTGGCCATCGGCCTCGCCTCTGATCCTGACCACGCTCTGTTCACAAATATAACTGAATGTTTGTTTGGTGTTTGAGTGTTGTGTCAGATGTTTGTATCTTGGTATCTTCTCTTATTTTTTTATGTTGCAAGTGGAGCTGCTGTGATGCAAGACATAATTCAGACCATGTCTGACAATAAAGTTCTATCAATCAATCTATTAATCAAAATGTTCTCATCCATTAATAATTTTTACACAAAAGGGACATACAAATATTACTGACTAAAAAATGATTTTATTTTCTACCTCAGGAAGATGACCATTACCAGTAGCTCACCATTATTGATGATTAATAAATCACACCTGTGTATCTGTTTACTCACTAGTTCAAACCCTAAAAAGTTTTCAATTATTAAAGTACTAATCTTCAGACTCCCTAAAATAACGTTGAAATGAACTACTAAAAAACTAAACTTTTAATAAAAATGAATGAGGAATTAAAAATCCAAACTAATGTTGTGTTCGATACTTCTGTTAATATGTAATATGCAAAGAAGAGTAGCCATTAAAAGGTTATAAAAAGTGGGGGCGACAGATAGCCTAGTGGCTGTGTAGCGTACCCCATCCATGGAGGCAACAGTCCTTGTATCAGCGGCCTTGGGTTCAAGTCGGAACCCGGCCTTTTGCTGCATGCCGTCCCCCACTCTCTCCTCCTGCCATTTCCTGTCTCTCTACAGCTGTCATTGCTAAAGAAAGAAGTCTACAGGCCCAAAAATAACACTTAGAATAAAAAGATTATAGAAACTTATCAAAGAAAATAAGGGACACTCTGTCTGTTACTCAAAGCTTAATAACTTTTTTTGTAGATGGAAAAAATATTATTTAACAACAAATAAAGAAAATAAATTGGAATTTTGAAAGAAAAAATTGTGTGACTGTGTTCTGTATATGCTGCTTCATGTTGATTTCCAAAGAAAGAACTGTACTAACAAATGTTCATATCTGTGATTATCTACTGTGTGTCGGAACGTGTTGACAAGTATGTGCAGAAGAAAAACACACGCTATCAGTGATGTGAAACTATTTGCGACACACCTTTTAGTGACACGAGCTGTAAATATTTCCTGACACCTGAGTGAAGGAGCCGGAGCGTCTGTCCGTCAGCCTCAGATCACACGAGTGATGCTTCTGTCACAAGACGCAGCAGATAATGTTTGCAGACGCCTCCTCTATCTCTTTCATCACACAAAAGGCAACAGGATATAATGTCACACGGTAAGTGAGGATTCCTCCACCCGCAGCAGCTCTAAATACCACGCTTAATCCAAACACACACAAACATCTGCACGACCCGCGTAACAGCAGGACAGTTTCAAGGGTAAAAGACATATTCTAAAGGGAAAATCCTCTCGTGTGTGTGATTGGATTAGCCAAACATCGTAACAAGATTACAGGAGACATGTAAAGGGACATCAGAATCACTTGAACCGTATCAATCCTGTCTGATGGCTGGAAGACTTCACAGGCCTCCTCAAACAATAACAGAGGATTTTAATACAGAAAAAACACAATGAGGATGCAGCAGAACACCCTCAAAGTCTGCAAAAACCTGGATTAGTAGTAGGTATTTATAATCTACAAGTAGTAGTGGTAGATACAAGATAAGGGAATCCCATAGCAAATACACTCATTTTGATTTCACAACCAGAGGACTTGTAATAAAGGAAGAACTTTTGTAGGAGAATATGTGATTATATCATGAATTTGAGGACCCTTGAGAGTGTTTTTTATGCTTTTATTTTGTATTGTTTAAACCGTGGGTACTTCACTTTCTGTTTGGATTTAATCCTGCTTTTATTTTGAAAGAAAATAAGGAACTTGTGGTAGATAAAAGGTTAAAACATTAACTAAACAAAAGATGGATTAAAAAGTAAATCAAAACAGCGAAAGAGGACGTGAAATGTAAAAAAGTGAAATGTTGGACATCATGAGGCGGGTATTACTTTGGACTTATCAACTAAGCTGTCTAAGAGGTTTTTTTTTTTTTAAAGTGAAATCACATCATGTCTAAAGTGTCAATGCTGACAGTCCTAGTCTTAATAGTAATCACAGATTTTCCATCCCCATATGAAAATGTTTTCTTTGTAAATGTTGAATATAAAAAGTTAAAAGTCGTCAAGTTTGTAATGTTTTCTGAAGGTGCCATGTTTGTGCATTTTTTAAAACCTTGAAAGAAACAAGCCATGTGCAAAGGGGTTCTACATGTTGACGAGTTTTTATACTATAATGATTAAAGTGACAAAGAATTATGTGCTAATACAGGAATAGTTTTTTTCCCCATACTGAGTCGGTAATAGATATCACACTGACGTATAAGCTTTCAGCATCGTGACGAGTCTGAAGTGAAGGGATTGATGGCAGTAAAACACAACAGAATGAAACGGCCACAAGACAATGAAAGTGGAGTAGAATAAACTACGACTGAATGAGGCAGGGAGGAGTACGATGAAACAGAAGAACCACAGATGCATCACAGAGGAGTAGAGGAAAGGATGGAGATACAGCAGAGTAAATCGATGAAGTCTCCTACCTGTTCCTGCGTCCATGATGTTGGGCTGTCCTCTGCGATCCGGCACCAGGCGTGACGAGCCGGGCATGCTGACGGGCTCTGAACGGACCGGCTGGATCCTGCACACACAGACAAATATTACAATTATTACCAACAGAAGGACCTCGGATGGGTGTTTGGGTCAGGAAGGAGTGATGATGTTGTTTTAGGGATTATTTTAAAGCTGTCTATGTAAAGGGATGGGTGAATCTATGAAGTGATTTCAGTTCATTAGAGAGACATCTTTGTTTATATGAACGTCACAGTACCTGAGGCTGTGTAGGTCCAGGTCATCCGTGTCAAAGTCCAGAAGAGGCTGCTGGACGTCAGTGGGGCCCTGGGACTGAAGGACTGAGGACGAGGACGAGATGACTGTGGTTTGTCCTGAAGGGTGGATGGTCTTAAACTGGAACTGAGGGCCCATCCACAGGCGCCGGTGGGGCCCCGTGTGGGTCACGATCTCTACCTGAGATTGCAAAAGGTAATGGCCAGTGAGAGAGAGATCCATTTGAAGATATTTAAAAAATACAACCAACAAAGAACACTAAAAAAAAGTTGTCGCCTTCTTAAGTCAGCACCAAAATTACCCAACGGTTAAACTAATCATTATTTAATTGTAACTCCAAAGAGGCTCAGAATGAACTTATTGCACTTTACTTTCTTTTGGTATTCTTACAAACAGTGAATGTTAAAAGCCTGATCTCAACTCTGGTGAACTCAGCCACCTGACATTGAACTAAAAGCCTCCTGAACTCCTGCATCACTGAAAGTCTGACACTGAAGTCAGAACACGTCAAGGTCTTGTGTGTGTTTGGAGATGCTGGCGGCATGATGCGAGGCCTTCCCAGAGGGATAATATGAGTGTGACACCAGCGGCAGCATGGCAGCCAGGCTGAGGTGAGGCCTACTGGGAGAGTAAGATGGCACTGGCGTGGCAGGTGGTCCATGGGCGCCCAAGCTGAGTGGCACTAATGCAGGCGGGAGGGGGGGGTGGAGTCATGAACATTGGACTATTACTGCCTCCTCTGCTCTCCATCTCCTCTCTGCCGAAAATTTACTCTCTAACCGTCTCCTGCCTTGGACTCTCATTTTAACCGCTCTCCCACGCTAGCTCTGACTTTTCAACTCCCTGCAGCACTTAGCACGCCTCTTGGTGTCTCGCTGCTCACATTTCATTATCTTTACTCTGTACGCGTTCGTCTCTCACCTCAGCCCAGCTCTCAGCTCGCCGCTCACAGACACGCTTCACTCTGGCTGCCAGGTGCCAACATCCCAGAGACCAGTGAGAGCTCGGGTCTCTTAATTCTCCCATGTGTCTGTGTTTTAACACTTGTATATGCATATGCATGTTCAGATATAGGTAGCCTGTCACAGCTGTGCAAACTAGGCCACTGAATGAGGGAAGGGGATTGTCACTCTGTGTGTGTGTGTGTGTGTGTGTGTGTGTGTGTGTGTGTGTGTGTGTGTGTGTGTGTGTGTGTGTGCTCTGCCAGTTAACACCACCAATGTCACGCCCAGCCGCAGAGCTGAACAGCTGCCAGTGTGCCCACTTTGCAGAGGGATGGACGGCCCAGATGTTGCAGTCCAGTGGCATCCACCTCCCACTGTGTCCCTCTTTGGACACAGCTGAGGGCTCGTTGCTTATTTTTGCCCTTACAGACCCTGTTCCTTGGGCGGGGCATTAGGCCAGATCAAGCTTAATAACGGGTAAAAGGCTTGTTTGGCGCCTCTCAAACATCCAACTAGTTTAAGCAGTATCCCTGTGTAGGGATGGCCATCTTTAATTTTGATTGATTTTGATATCCATATTGATACTCTTGAATGATCTGAGTCCTTATCGATACAACTAAATAAACTTTTCCACTATTTTGGGATGACATGCAGAAGAAGGCAGAGGTTGGATTCGACATTGGGCATGGGACATAACCGCTTGGCCATCCAGTGTCCCCCTTTGTAGGAACTTCCCTGTATCATTTCCAATTCATCAAGCTGTTGTGCCTGACATGTTCTTGTCTTTCTACAAAGTGTAATGGATGTGGAATAAAAACTACCATGTATAACCGGTCTCTGATATTCTGAAACGTTCCATAGGAGCTATTTGCAGACACACTTAAGAGCTCTAATGTTCTCCTCCAACCACTGACAAATGCACCACTACCACTGTACTGTACTGACAGGAAGTTACCAAAAATCCAGGTTAGTGCAATGGATAGTTTTGCTCCTGGCAAACTATCATGGCAGATATGAACCAGGCCCTGTGCAAGCTAAGTGGGTTGCATTTTAACTAATCAATTATGCATGCAGTGGAATTATTGATGGTGAAAATGTAGTGGGTTACCTGCCTACACCAGAGATGAGTGCATTGAGGGTTAACCAAGCTGAAAACATCAAGGTGTGTGTTTTTCAAACAAGGCCTGACCAAATAGTAGTAACATGTCGGCACAACTTTGGGCAGCTTTTGAGACAAGAGAGAAGCCACAAAGTGAGTTATGATATCTGACGGAGCAAGAGGAGGAAATCTGTGGGAAAGAAAATAATCAAAAGCTGCTTCCTGCATGTCCCAAGTGTGCAGACAATATCATCTAAAAGTAGAATAAAATGGTGTGAATCAACATGTTGACAGATTTTATGGGTTTTAAAATGGATTTAAAAAATCACTTAAACAGGATGAGGCTGTTTAATATGGAGATCAGACCTTTGGTTCCTCCAATCTAGGCCTGTTTATCAGAGGTTGGGTAAAATGGACTTCTTCAAATTCTCAGTCCCCTTACAATCTTTTTGGATTCTAGATTTTGCGTCATGATCTTTAGGGGTCATCTCTGCTTCATTTGATAATAACAGACATTTCAGTGTTGGATCTCTTTTAGTTTTGCGGATCTTGGTATCAGACCATCAGAAAATGAATAAATGAAAGTTGTGATAAAGCTCTGTAACATTTTCTTCAGGAGCCATGTTTGTTTTTTCACCTGAGCATCAACTTATCTACACTTCAACTGACCTCCATGTGACATTTCACTCATTACCAGGTAGATTCAATCACTTGTCTGCATGTCACTGTCTTATTTACAAACTGAATGTCACACAGTGTTTTATTGGTTAAGGTGGAGCCTGACCTGAGAGAGCCACTCTTCATCCTCCTGGCCGCTGTGATCCGACGCCAGGCTGTCTGACGACTCGTGACGTGTGATTGGTCCTGGGCTTCCTGGAGGCATCGCTGAGAGAACGCACACACAGAAATAAATGATGAGTTGATGTGGCACAGAATGATGACTTCTGATATTTTGACAGTGATCATTTTTTGTTGCCATCATGAGTTTCAAACCAGAAAGGTCCTTAAAAAAAGTCTCCTAAATTCAAGTATTCAGTGTTTCCTACATTTTTGATATGCTTGAAATGTGTAAAAACCTCCAATGTCATAAAATATGACAGTGATGCAGCTTTAAGAGAGAAATGTCAGTGAGTTAAGGCTGTCAGAGCAGTCAAAGCAGGCCAGTCAATCCCATATAACCATTAACTATTAACTTAAATCAGCCCGTGAAGGAAAATGGTAACTGACAACTAGTTTATTAAAGTGTGTTAGAGTCATTAGACTTTAACTGATGTGCTCTTTGACAGTCGATACCAATACATGTGGGCTGGAGAAAGTGGCAGTAGTTATTTCAGGCACAGGTCAGAGTTTGTACAAACAAAAACTGTTGAGAATTATTTTTTTTTGTCTCACTTGGGCATATTGTGCGTGCCAGTGTGTGAGAGAAAAGCAAGTGTAGGGTAAAGTGAGTAAGAGAGAGAGAGCGAGAGAGAGAGAGAGAGAGACCGAGGGACAGATGGAGTTCTCGCAGGCTTGAATAAGCAAGCGTGGAGAATGAGGCCTAATGTGTAGAATCAGTCCTCTCTCTGTCTCCCCACCTCGGGCATGAAGCTTGTTTAACACAGAACAGGCTAATAAACTTGTCAGGTCCACATCTGGAGCACAGGAGGCGCTCCCGTCTTCATCACACTCACACACACACACACACACACACACACTTAAACACACGTGCCAGGTGTTCATACAGCCCTGATGGAGGTGGTTTGGTGTTTGACGCCTCTGTTACAAACGTCACATCAAACCCCCACCTTCACATTACTCACTATATATACACCTGATTCTGGAGTGCACCTCGCTGTGTTTATAAATGTGGATGTAGAAAGGAGGAGCAACAAGGAGTGCAGAAGCTTAAAAATGCAATACAAGAAAAAAACAAACAAAAAGGCATCGGACAAAGTTAGGAAATTCAATTCGGGATAAATGGATGAAATATATTATTAAATATCTCATCGCATGACACAGGTTGGACTGAATGAAAGCAGAGTACAGAAAAAATGGGAAAAGAAAAAGAAGAAATTATATCCTGATATTTAAATGCATGACGCATATCTAATAGCATTTCTATTGACCACACTTTGACGTCAGGTAGTCAAAAAAAATGTTACACTTTGATGAATTTTCAATACCACATCTTTTAAAACGATGCAATCTGTTATTTTAATGAGTGAAAGTGTCCAAAAGAGCGGCTCTGCTCCGTTCAGATTCACAGGTCGGCAAACACTGACCCTTCTCACGTCCTGTTAGCATCTCTTAAAAGACAAAAAAGTTAAATGTCTGTTTCTTATGATTAAACACAGAGCGGAGGAGGTGACTGCAGAGGAGAAAATGTCTCAATTGCACAAATAAACTTGGCCCCGGCACTCTTCCATGTGTTTGAGAAATTTCAACAGTGTGGAGGAGTTCTTGCACCTTTTGTTAATTAAGATCAAGAGATTACACAATATGTGCCTGGGACTTTTATCATTGTTTCCATGGTATCAAAATTGTTTGATTTTTACAAGTATCATCAAAAATGGTAATGCCTGGTATCATGACAACCCTCAATTTGTCTTATAAGGCTCAACACAGCAACCTGATGTGTCTGGAAAATGACCAAACAGCCTAATAATGTAGTCCTTTATTTGACTTGTTTAAATTATTATAACTGTAATTAAGGTGATTAATTGACTCACAAATGTAATTTGAAGCAGAAAGGGTCTAAAATACACAAACACAGTAAAGTCTGCCAGCATATTGTCAGTCAGTGAGCTGAACAGAGAGACAGATGCACTTTCTGCAGAAACCAACGCTGGAACCACAAAACAACAGAAGTTAAAGATCCCAGTTCTTTTAATAAGTGTTAGAAATAAGGGGTAGACCTCTGTGGATAAAGGAGATCGTGGTGAAACACTGGGATCAAAAACTGCAAAGGGTCATTTTAAAACAATGTTTCTAAAGTTGGCAGCCTGACATGCTGTTGTTCCTGCAACAGATCATCCAAAAACAAAAGAGCAGAAATACCAGTCGAGTGTGTTTTTAATGCCTTTTAAGGAGCTGCCCCATTAAAGAAAATCTGGATAAGACATAAAGTACCAGCATGGAAAGACACCACTAGTTGTGAGTGGAAAACTATCTTTCTAATCAGGGTTCACACATATTTGCTCAACCCACAAATATGGTGCGGAGGGAGTGCAAGCAAGAGAAAGTGAGGCAGAGAACGGTTCTCATGCCGTTTCTAAAAATCAAAGACAGAAGAACAAAGCCTGTGTTGTGTTACTTATTAAACAAAATCACAACTCCCTCACTTCCTCCCACTGCCTTCACTCCCACTGCTCCCACTCTCTCTCCTTGCTCTCTGACCCTTGGGGCCAATAGCTGTTCTCTAATTAATTATTGATGTTCTGAAGCAGTTGGTGGACAGGCTGGATCGAGTTTCCTGTGTGTGTAGGTTTGTGTGCGTATGTGTGTGTGTTTGTGTGTGTGTGTGGGAGGGGCTTCCACTGGCCGGAGTCACAGCCAGGCTCCGGTGTAGAAAGCTAGTGGTCATCCCCACGGGTCAAGCAAAGAGACAAAGAGGCATCCCCCTCCTCTGTGTGTGAGTGTGTGTGTTAGTCAGAGTGCACGTCAGGAGCCAGACTGACCCCGGCAGTTACAGTCATATCTACTCGTCTTTAGTGTCCGGCTAGCCAGACACTCGGCCTTCTGCTTTTACTGCGCTCATTACTGGCTCTTAAGAAACAGAGAGTCAATGCAATTTCACAGACGGCTAATATTTTAAGTGCAAACTTATTACAATGGAGTCTGAATGTATGGCTACATGCACAGTTGTTATTGACAGTTTTAAGAAACATAAGCGAATAAGAAATGTGTCCCTACTGAGAAATTCTCATTTGAAAGAACACATTTTTATAATTTATGTGACAGTATTGACCTACTCTTGATGTAAGATGTAGGAGAGACATATTTTGATCCCATTCTTCAGTGTCATTTGTGGTCACTGTTATGCATATTTGGACAATTTCTGATAAAACTCAGACACGGCATGACCGAGAAAATACATTTGATTGTAAGCCTTTCACATGCTTATGACAATAAAGTGCAGCTAATCAGATTTTTTTAAATAAGAATAATAATCCATGAATTTCAAGGTTTGTGTGATGTCAAAACAGGACACAAACTTTTGGACGCAAATTTGGATATTGTTACAGTATTATTTTAACAAAAATTGAGAGTTACTATCTTTCATTGTAGCAATCACTTGGTAAACCATACAGCTATAATGTTCCAATGACTTTTATTACAACAATTTGTGTATACTCTATGTTAAAGGCTGACCTTTGTCATTTTACATCGCAGCCAAGCTTAAGCTAGGTTTGTGTTCTCTCTACATGTGATAAGCAAACGTATATGGACTGAGACTTATGTCCGTACCCTGCGTTCATTCTGTCCATATTTCTGCTACGTTGCAATACCATCATAAATCAGGGGGCAGTGTCGAGCAGTTTAGCCAACGGTTCAAGCCAGACCACTAAAACACAACGAAGAAGAATACTTTGGAAAATGGCAAACTTTTTGAGGAAAGGTTGTGCAAGTTGATTACAAACAATAAAGATATTATGTTAACTCAGTCAGGACAGACACGTACAGCAGAAGAGCTGGGTGGAGATCAGATTGGAAATGAATGTCAGTTTGACGGCAGTGAGAGAGAGAGAGAGGAGTGGTCAGTGTGAGACCACTCCCTCTAGTGGTTGCACTTATTTGCCGTCTATAGGACACGTGGGAGTTTATGGCTAGTGACAGTTAAAAAAATTTAAACACAAGTATCTATTGTAAACAATTGGAAACAAAAATTTGCCTTAAACCTTCTGAAAGCAAATATCTAAGTTTTGGATTTTATGTATGATTTTTTTCCCCTTGCTTTGAGAATTTTCTTCAGCCTGTTAATTGAGCATTTTCTGCAAAAGAACCCACATTTTTGGACTCCGTTGACTTGCCATAGCAGGGAAATTCCCATTTCCCAATTAGTAATCTTGGGTCCTTTTCTTTATAACCCTGATGATTCTGCATTTTCATACCCACACAAGCAGAAAAAACAAGCTTGCCCACACCGTCCAGGAACAGAGTCGTCTGTGTCAAAGTCTTTATTGACTGTGGAGAGAGGAGGTGTTGTGCTGGGCTGAGGTCCGGTAGCCGGTGGCCTGTTAGCCAGAGCAGTGAAGCAGGGAGTCAGAACAAGAACAAAGGCAGCCTGGGTATTGATGTAGCCCGACCTCCCGGGGCCTTGGGCCAGGGGCCGGACAGGCCGATCTCCAGGGAGAGATAAGGGGCTAACAATCTGATGGATCTGGAGAGCTGGCTGCACAGTGCACAGTCGTCTTGTCTGGACTGTTTGCTCTGTTCACCTTTATCTCTTTCATTTTTTTTTAAAGATTAATTTTGTTTGTCCTTTATTTTTCCTTTGACCTGTCTCGCTTGGTTGCCAGACATTTCACTTGCTCAGCTCCCTCTCCAGCGCTCTACCTGTCTCTCTTCTCACTTTCCTCTCTTCTCGCTTTCCTCTTGCTCTGGCAGATAGATGCTGGCACGCTGACAGACTGGGATAGCTTAGTCATTATGTATCATTCAAGGCGTATTTGACTGACAGCTCCCTCATTCAGCCAGCGCTACACTTACCCCATCCTTTCTCTGCCTCTCTTTGATTACTGACCCAGTGATGGCGCCATGGTTTCTCTTTACCAAACGCCTGATGCTCCAAAGCCTTCACTCTGGCCCCTCTCTCGGAGCAATTAGATCTATTGACGAGGCAACTGTGGCTGGCCTGTCATGGGCCTCAAAGTCCCAAGAGAGTAGCCGAGCCAGCCAGTCAGTCAGTCTCCACAATTAGCACATTATATGACAGGTAGGGAGGGGAGGGCCGCGGCCAAAAAGCATAGCCTCTGTTACGCCGCCATCACCAGGCTCAGCGGAGCCAGCCAGAAATCCAGGTGGTAAATTATTCACCGGTTTGTTTGCATCAGAGCAACTTTGCGGTGAGGGGAGGAGGTGTTAGAAAACAGACTGCGGACAGCTAGATAAATATTAACCTGACAAAAATCATAGCAGGAAAAATCTACCTCCAAATGCAAGTAATGAGGGTTGGGAAACCTCACATTCATCAAAGTATAAAGCCTGTTATGATAGGGATTAGAGCAGTCTTTCTGTTATTTCCCAGCTCCAACACCTTAAACAAAAAGAAAAAGGGGCCCATTGACACTCACACAAAGGTGCACAGACATGAATCCTGTGGTTCCGCCTAGAGGATTCCCTAAACACTTAAAACTTGGCTTCACACTGCTTTAATAAAGCCAGATCATACTACAGTATCTCCTCTGTTTGTGAGTACACTGTATAATGTCTTTCTCCTTCTTATCTCTCCAAGGCGGTGCTGCATGTTGCCGTCCTCTGCTAGCCTGAGTGCTGCCAATAGCTGCTCCAGATGGACAGGTGGAGATAGTGACCATGAAGTGGCGCCACCGCTGCCTTTTATCATCCCGTCCTGGAGGCTCCGGTCTGGCCTGACCCCGGCCCTTCCTCTCCCCTTCCTATTCCATTCCCTGCATGCTGCATTTTTAATCAGCCTGGGTCATCCAATATAGAGCCACGAGACCAGAGAGCACGGCCTGTCAATCAAGCGCTGCCACCTCTTTGTTTGCACCACCTTTTTAGAGACGCTGTTTTTGTTGGACAATTAGCTGAAGGGGATATTTTTACACATTCCTCATTAACACTTCAGTGCTTTAATTTCTTGTTGAATAGTAAAAAACTTTATTCGTCTTGTGTCCTCTCTTTAAATTAAATTTAAATTAGACTTAGATGCAAGAATTTGTTCTGCAAGTAAGCACGCTGTCTTTTTCAGTTCCCTTTGCAGCTGCATGATCTTTATGCTCAGCAAGAGGCAGCTGGACGAGGGGCGTATGGCTGTGTTGTAATTCATCCTAAGGTCAAATTGACTCCTTCTCCTGGATCACTTCTCCACTGAGCTGCCAAGCCCTGGAGGAAACAGCGGAGGAGAGGGGCTGGCAGGGGGGGACGCCTGCTGAGAAACAGGATGTTGAGAGTCTGCGCTCGGGTGCAAAGCGTAGAAATGGAAGGTGGCGTTCCAAGAGCAGCTCAGTCGGTGTCGGTGGTGTATAGGACCCTGACCCCGAGGGAAAATGGCAGGAGAACAAGAAGTGGGTAGAGGGCTGAACAATTATGTTTATAGCGTCTTGACCTCATATTGGTTCTCACTCGGTTGGTTTGGGGAATAAAAGAGCCACGGCGGTGTTAGCTGGCTATTGTTAATTGGATGTAAATGTTAATGCAATGAATCTCTCTCATTATGCAGCACTTCCACTGCCCATGCTGGCAGAGAGAATGGTGGAAAAAGCTGACGCCCGCGCCCGTCACCCCAACGTGTCCTCATCGCTCTGACACTAGGAGAGACCATTAGCACTAATTTGAGAAAATATCCTACCAGTTAGACCTGGAGCGCTACAGAAGTCAACGAGACGAGTGCAGAGATTAGGGTAAACACAGCCACCACTTGCCCTGGAGCAGCCGCAAGAGCTAATTACAGATTTTGTGTGTTTATAATTATGGAGTAGCTCAAAACGCCAGCCTATTCCAGGGGGTGGATTGATTCCGTGTGTGGCCATCCATGTGCACTTGCATTGGCTTTTTCCGAATTGGCCTTTCAGAGGGTAACCTAAAGTGCTCACTGCTCTGTACTTGTTATTGAATTAAAGAGAGTTTAGGGTGTCAGCTAATTGGTCAGAGTGCAGCATCTCATAGCATTGTGCTAGCATACCCTGGAGCGGGCGTGTAGTGTGGCGGGCAAAGACAGACTCAAGGCGCAGAACAGAAAAAGTCTGATTACTCAGAGGATATGAAATGGTAAATGTGGGAGTGTCTTTGTCCGAACTCTTTGACAAAGGAAATGTTATGGCTGCTGACTGGAAAGCACTTTCCTCAGCATGTGGCAGCAATAAAAGGGCCGAGGAGTGGCTTTCAACACAGTCAACTTGAAAAAGTCAGCAGGGATTAGGGGTCACCCCCTTGTCTAATAATGCATACAGTACACAGAAAACATGTATGGTTGTATTAGCCTGTATTGGCAAAACACACACAGACCTACTATCTATAATGCATACATGTTATAGAAAAACATGATGCAGTTCAGGTCGATCCTCCAACAGATTCAACGCCATACATACCTCAACTTCTCTTTTCATATCAAAACACTTCTTTTTGCAAGTAACAATTCTCCAAGATGACTCAACAATTGAGTATTTCTCCAGATTAAATTTTAAACTTCTATCATATTTGGAGTTAGTATTTAAAAAAAACAGCAATTGGTGAAAAATGTCAGCAAGTAATCACAATTGAAAGCCAACAAAAACTTAAGATAATGAGAGAACAATAATTTGCAGAAGTGATAGATGAATTTGAAAAAGTAAGAAATCTATTGGGGCAATTCTAAAACGTTTTGCCCTCATTAGACATTTAGACCCTAAAATGTAATACGCCATCATAATAATAAAGCCAAATTATTGTTGAGTTTTTTTAAGCAACATAAAGTGTGCTTCTGTTCTTACTATGTGATATGAGGCCATATATAGAGGTTTTTTCATACTGCTGTTTTCCACATTGTCCTTTTTTTATTTAGAAAAAAGTTCAGCCTTATTGACTTTGAAATAATGAAAGCACCCCAGGTCTGTACTTTATTTCTCTGATGCTCATAGGTGATTTAAAGGCAGTTTAAAAGGAAATGTTTGCACAGAAATGTCATACTATATGAGGACTAATCTAAACAAATGTACACTCGATGAGGTACCATGAACATGATCTTAAAGCCCCCATTATTGTTTGCTTGTGGTATCATAATGTTTCCTTATTATCAGTAACTCAATGAGCTGAAACCTGAAACACATGTTCACTTCAAATCGAGCTGCCTTGAGTGCATCTGCATTGATTTACATCTTTAAACAGACTTAATATGCATTTATGCTTCCCCAGTATGAAACTTTGCATTTTTACAAAAACACAATGTGATACTATGAATGAACCAAAGAACGCAAAAAGAAGGAAAGAAAAAGATTTGTGTAAGACTTACCAGCCAGGAGACACTGATAGTACTGCACCAGGTCTGAGGCCAACACCAAGGGGTGGTTGGAGTTGAAGGGTGGCTGCAGCTCGTTCCACTGTGGTGTTCTGCTCCAAAAAACAAGAATAAATAAATGATAAACCAACCGTGAAACTGACCAAATCGAGACCCTTTTTTGAGAAGTGGTCAACACAGTATTACCTGGCTAGAGTCCAACAGGCCCTGGGACAGGTGCTGAGCTCCAAAGGTGTGTCATCGCTGATCTTTTGAGCAGTGCTGAGAGGCCGAGGCTCCAAGACATGCTCCACTAAGTTACCATAGCAACTCAAGATGTACAATGAGTCCACGACCGACTGCCTGGATTGATCTGGGAAGGAACATGTCGGGAGAGATGTTTGTACTTTGACAAGATTAAAACAAAAACTGTTATCAAAAGCACCTGTGGGAGAGATCTTACCTTTCTCCCGTTTCATGTTGGAATTGCTGATGAACCAGGAGCGAGACGAGGCAAAGATGGCGGCCACGCAGAACTCTCCTCCACTGGACTTGCTCGGGGAGATCTGTGGCGGGGGTTTTGCTTTGCTTCAGGAGGGAAAGGAGCACAATGTTCAGACAGAAAGGTAGAGTAAGAAGTAAACTTTTCAGTAGTATCAGTGGTAGCAGTAATCTCCTCATCAATGGCCTTCTTGTATTCATTTCCAACATCAACGTTACTAATTTATCTACTATTTTATTGATAATAAAATGGAATACAAAGCACCTTTCAGAAGAAGTATGGACATTTAAAGAGTGTGATTCATGGAAGATCACAACAAGAATCTGACAAGAGGTGATGACTGTCAACAGTAAAACACAAGAAATACACCTTGGAGGAGAGTATAATGTAAACCAACACATCTGTGAACAGGGATCACATACTTTATATACGTGCTTTGCATGCAAGGAGCAAAGCAAGGGGGGAAATTCAAATGACTGCAAACAAAACATTCACCTCTGCAGAGAATGAAGGGCAAATACAATCCTGCTCCACCACAAATGTTGATATAGAACTACAAAATGCCCAATTGCTGGATTGTAACGTTTATACAACCCGGCCATCATCCGAGATATTTGTTGGGTGAAATAGTAAGTTATGTGACAGAGTATCCATACAGAAGAATGTGTGGTCCTGCCATAAGACAAATAATGCCTCTGTGTCGTAGGTTTTAATCGTCTCTAGCTTTCCTCTAAAAAGGTCCCATATCAACCACAGATCAGTAGCATGAATCAGTAAAAACAGTGTTTGTCTTTGTGTGATCTTTCTGTGCCTGCATCTAATGTATGTGCTTTTTCTAATCTTTGATTGTGAAGCACTTTGTGACTTCTGCTCTTGAAAGGTGCTGTATAAACAAACTTGACTTGAAAAAATATCGTCTTTACTTTTATTCTCACATCATATCCATAAGAATAGGAATTCAATTGACTGAGTTTTTTTAGTTTAAGCCGAGTTTTCACTTCAACTTTACCCAGAATCTTTTCCTGCCAGCATCCTAGTAAGGTTTCTGTGAAAAGTTGGAGTGAGCCAATGTGAGAACGCAGCAGGTAATATTCAGGAAAATTCACCACAAGTGAGTGGGAGGGGTCTATATCTTGCAAACCGCAAATGACCATGAACTGTAAGGGCATGATCATCTTTGTCTGCCACTTCTGGGTCGTTCTACTTACATCATGTACCTCCAACCTCCCCTCCTGTCTGACAGTAACTGACTCCCGCTGTGAGCTATATGTCTGAACAACCAACCCAGGAAGATTTTAGGGGGCGGCCTGCCTGACATTTTTGGGACATTTTCAGGAGTGCATACGTGACAATGGCTTTAATGTTTAATTTTATTTTAAGGAAATTAAAATCCATGAATGTTCCCTAAATGACATGCCTGTCTCAATAAATGGCATGGACCAATAAACCTTGCAATCTCACTGAGGAGACACCAAGGATTTTTTTAGAAGGAAAAAATAATCTGCCAAATACAGCATCCAAGTCCTCTTCTCTGGCTGTCTCACTTCATGTTGGCCACAGAAGGGAATTTATTAGTAGTTCTCGGATTATTCAGTATGTCAGGACTGTTAGAGGAGAATCGGACACAGAAAGAGGTTTCAGCTGTAGTGGTGCTCCCCATATGGAAATGATCAGAGAACAGTAGCGAGGTCTGGTATTATTGTCCAGCTTTATAACCAACCTGGAGAGTCAAAAACGGTCACAGTCGATCAGGCACAAGGTGGACTAAGGGTTTCGAAGACTCACTGCGGGGTCACACCCTCCCAGAGGAAGGCTCAGCCTTGACCTCTGGAAACCAGGCTGGTGTGGAAGTGACACACATGCTTTAGTCCTCACTTATTTGTTGGGAAAAAGAGCTAAAGAGACAAACTGTTGCTACTTCATTTGTCTATGTGTTGAAAGACAGCAGAAAGGTTAGGTTTATGTTTCCCTGAATATTTGAACCATAAAAGCCGGGGATACTGATATAATTTACACATTTGTTGGTTATGCTGTTCATTTTTTATGAGCTGTGGACAGGCTCACTTGATTTTAGCTCACTTTGACATCCAAGCTGCAGATCCACTTTTTAAGGTTTTGGTTGAAATTGTCTTGAGGTCCTGACAGAAATTAATAACTAATGTGCTCTGAAAAAGGAACTAAGGAAATCTGTCATCTGTAGCAGTTGTAAGCCTGTAAAAATTTCGACCAATGTCTGCCAAGAGGTACCGATCTGATGAACCAATCAGACGCCTCCCTGTGTCACTGCTCGTTCTCGATGACGGAGTTTATACTGTGAGTTTGTCGTTGGCCGTCGAGTAGTGAAATAGTCACGTTGTTTAAGTTTAGTGCTAACTTACCACTAAATGAGAAATGTAATGAGTTTTAAACTAAAAACTATGTGGGTAGGCTGCAGTTTAACAGTAATGCTTGTATAGAGGGATACTTCTTGTCCAGTAGTTTAGCTAAGTTTCTAAGAAACAGGTGCTGAAAGACCTATAGCTGGTAAAACTCTCTTTCTGTTGCCTCCCTTCAGACTGTCAGCACCTCATAAATTACTCCCTGGATGCACAGATATGTTGATGTCTTTGTTTGGCCAACACCGTGTGAAAGAGGGATCAGAAAAAAGGAAGTGGTGAAGGTAGTCCGAGGAAAGGCCTCTGGACAAGTTTCATAGCTTGTATTTATTAGTGCTGGGTCAAGGGGAGAAGGCTGAATAACCAAATATCCAGAGTAAGCCCTGTCTGTGAAAGGAAGATGGAGGGGGGAGATAAAGTCACACTCAGGATATTGCTTTGGCTAAGACCAGGGTGCCCTTGTCTACTCCTCCAAGCTCTTCCTCGGGCCTATTCATTTGCCAGTGTGAGGAGAGGATAAAGAATTTAACAAACAGATCCAGTGAGCGATCTACTGGAAACTTTTTTTTCCCCCCAGTGCTTTTACAACTTTCTTCTACATTGCAATATCTACACTCCTGGAGGGGGGTTGGGGAAATCCAAAATCAAGGACAGTGGGAAGACAAGGCATACAAATGTCTTATAAACTTTTAGGAAACCTCCTGTGACCAATGAATGAATCTGCCAACAAGCTAGCCAAATGCTATGCACACAGGAGAAACAATGGAAGACATCGCATAACTTTCCTCCATTGCTTAAAGGAAGGGAAATTATTCCTGAGTTCTGCAAAGTTAATCTCCTTCCTTAGTCAGGTAATCCATGTTGAAATGTTCCATCTTGGGTCATCGGATAGCCTAGCGGTTATGTTGCATACCCCATGTACAAAGGCTACAGTCCTTGTTGCAGTGACCATGGGTTTGAATCTGACCTCGGCCTTTTGCTGCATATCATCCACCACTCTCTCCTCCAAACATTCCCTATCTCTCTTCAGCTGTCCTATCCAATACAGGCAAAAATGGCCAACAGAAAGAATATCTAAAAAATATATTTTCATTGCTTCACTGGTTTCAATGCTGACCGAAATAAAGTACAAAGAAACTTATGCGCACTACAATATTCAACATTAACAATAAAATAAAAATGGTGTATTGTATTTGAGAGAGAATGACAAGACCGAGTGGAAGTACTGACAAGGGGTACAGTAGAGATTTGGAACCCTTAGGAAAGGATGGACTAGTCTAGTTTATACCTGCACAGAGTTCACACGAACACACAGATCCAGTCTATGTGCGCGTGGAGGTTGCAGGATATAAATGTCATTACATTATTTTAAATCCTCCTTTTCCTCTTTCCATCTCACTTGAAGAGGCTTAAAATTGTTGATGTTTCTGTTTTTATGTCAGTGAAGCAGCGCAAAAGGACCAAATTCAGATTTCCATTCAGAGGATAATCATTTTATGTCGTGGATCGGTGGTGGTGGTGGGGATGGTTCAGTGAATGTCACCAATATGTAACCCAATATCAATAAATCATTAAATATAAATACAGAGAGATGGACCTGGAATCAGGTGGGAGGGAACGTCAAGAAACAAACAGCACATCTTTTTTTTTCTTCTCTCTGCTCGCTTTTCTTTTTGCAGGGAGTGGAATCCATTTTCTTTGCAACTTTAATCCACTGAAGACTACTCACATGTCATTTCCACTTTTAATTTAACAAATGAGGACTCTTGACTGAGCTAATAGCTTTTCCTCAAGGGCATAATTCAATCTGCAACATCAACCATCAAAGTCCCTTCGCATTACTATGTCCGGGGCTAACGTGAGGCGCCTCCGAGGGGGGTTGGGGAGTCCGGTGGCAGCTTCCATTTATTTCCGAGGCCCCTCGCAGTAAACAAATATGATAGAGCTCACGTGAGCCGGCAAACCAGCGACAAAGAGCTGCACGGCTGTCGTAGCTCTGATTCTGGGCCACAAAGATCATCCAAAGAAAAGAGCCAGCATAAGGAGGACGAGGACGAGGGAAGGGAGAGAGAGAGAGAGAGAGAGAGAGAGAGAGAGAGAGAGAGAGAGAGAGAGAGAGGGCAGTCATGTGGAGGACACATCCTTCAACGTCACGTTTATTATTTTACAATAGCCCTCGGAAAAAAGGCAGCCTTTGGCTGTATTGAACACAGAACTAATGACGACCACAGGAGGAAACTTCAGTGAACATTGGAGAATGGGCATTAAATGTTCGAAACATTGAACAACTGTGATCCATACAAGCCGTGGAAACTTATTAACTGTCTGAAAAGAGAGCTAATGCTGGGACCACTGTAAACATGTTCCTGCATACATAGATCTTAAAAGAATACCAGAATAGAATATAACTTTATTTTTTTTGGAACAGAAAGCTAATGCACCTATTGTAAACATCTTGAAAATGCACAAGCGATGGGAGGACAATGAATAGGGATGATTCTTGTTTGCATGAAACTATTTAAATAAATAGAAAATAGAAAAAACAACAGCTAGAAAATAACTTGCATAACTTTTAGGTCTGATAGGTTTAGAGATATGAAGCATATAAGACATGACATCACAACAAGCACAAATACTAATGCCGACAATGCATTTATAAAAAAATGTTAAACAATCAAAAGGCCTTTGCATTTTATTCAAATAAATTAAAA